AGTACAATCGAGCCGGTGTTAGCATACACCTTTCTAGCCTTACGATTCCTGGGCAATTTATTGCAAACAGTATATCTTTTAAGAGTGGCATTGGGAAACAGATACGAATGTAATTCTCTTGAAATCAGTGTAAGATATATAAAGCACGCACCATTATTGCAGATGACTAGGAACTATTACAGTTGATAGCTTTACGTACTTTGGTAGATTATTGCTGAGAAGCCTAATTGCATACTCTTTGAGATACTTTTGGAATGTTGAAGCAAGAGCTAACATCGGCTGACCTGCGAAAACCATCAAAACACCAGATGAATAACAATGAAAACACTCCCGCAAGATCACCAACTGAATGTACTGTACGTGTAAATTTGTAAGACCTCAAATATCCATCTCACTGTTTATTTCAGAACAATTTGTCTTCATGAAGAGACATCATGTATCTGTAGGCCTACTGAGTAGTCAGCAGATATAGTAATGCAAAACGTAAACAGTAAAATCCGTAAAATGTAAAAACCAAAACGTGTACAGAATTGTCACTATAATGTAACTCACGCACGCACGCACGCACGCACGCACGCACGCACGCGCGCACACACACACACACACACGCATGCATGCATGCACACACACAGTGCTTATTTGTAGAGACCTGTGGTCTGTTGCCAGATCAAAGACGGACTAATTAAATGAACCAAAATTAGGACTAAAACCTAGAACTAGTATTACACTGTTGTATAGCTATAATTATTCTGTCAATTATCTAGGGAAAGAAATTACTACTAAGTCTAATTTCATGAGGAATCGTACAGACACCCCTCCTCCAACAACGCAAGGTGAGAGTACCAGTACCTGTACTGAGCTGAGAGCACTGCACCATGCACTTCTTGTAATAAACAAACAGGTCTGCACAGCTGGGCAACACAACACTGCCATCGTCGATGTTCAGCGGCACACCCTGCGTGCGGAAATCCTCCACAAAGCGATTTATTAGATCCGCCATGTTCCTACACGTTAAAATAAGACAGTTAAAATAATTGATCATCTCTCAAAAATAATTTCAAATTAATTGAGAACTCAATAAATCTGTCACATGTCAGCGTTCAGCATACATACTACCGATTACTTCAGCATAAAATTATTTTGAGTTTCTGCTGTTATAGGCTATAAAACAGTAAATGAGCAGCGAACATGCATCTTTTACCTTGAGATTTGCGAGAATGGAATTTCAAATGGTCCCACAAAACAAGTGCACATAGTTACCTGACGTTTTAGTTTAACCGTTATGGATATATGATTGATAGGTTAATAATATATAACCTCTCTCTCACACACACATACCTGTCTTGCGACTCAACATAAATGTTGAGGTGTGGCTCAAAACATATGCTGATTAAGCCCAGAAATGGCGATGTCTTATCTAGCACTGCTGCACTGCTACCGGCAGGAACCTGAAATATAACCAAACATAATTTAACGGGGATAATGTAATTCTGTGTATGTGTGTGTACAACACTCTGTCTCGCTGCTGTCTCTTAGCAAGCTTTTTGCCTCTACACTATCCTACGGGCCATAGCCGCGCGTACATATTATCCTATGACGATACCGTGCGTATATTTTTGGTAATTAATTAAACTATTCGTGCTTCAAGAAACGCAGCAGAAATTTGCAGAGACCATAGCTAAGAGATGTGTTTATAGGTATCTATAATTTTAGAAATGTAGCTCAATTCGTTCGCGAGATATGAGAATTAATACACTTTAATGCCGCATATAGCGCAATAGCGTATGCGCGGGGGGACAACAGCTGTATACAATGCGCCAGTACAGGCGGGCGCAGTTCGAACATTTAATCATCTGTAATTCACTTTTAAGGAATATCTGCATTGGGCACCCCCTCTAATATTTATAGTACTGCCATAGGCTACAACTGTGCCAAGTTTGATGCTTAAATTGTCAGCTCTGTAACGATCATGAAGCTAAGGGACCTGACTACTATGTGTTATGCTGTGTGCGCGTTCTCGATACCAAACGTCGCCAAAATTGTCGAAATTATTACAGCTGTACAGTTTAATACGCTATTCATTACAGTCACATATATCAGTGGCGCATTGTGCTGGTAGTGTTTGCAATTTGAACACCAATAACACTAAAACATTTATCTAGAAGATGGAAACCAGCTGGTACAGACAAGTGCATATTTCTATGAATAGACACCTAGATTACATTCCCAGTAATTAGTTTGATCTGTCATATTTTACTATATTACAATCTTAATTACACCCATGCATAACTTTATTGTGAATGTAGTGTGGATGTGCAAATCAAATTATTGCTTTGCTCCACACATAGTATATAAACGCGAAAACAATCAAAGCATAATAAATTTAGCAGCTTGAATCACAATACCACGAGAACAATCTGTAGACATGGAGACTCGTGGTGTCAGTAAATTTGCGATTACAATACGTGACGAGTATCATAATATGTACTTCAGTACGTGTACTTGTATATGAATTACATGCAATAAAGATTTAATAATAATAATAATAATAATATCACAAAGTCATAGCATATTGTGTTCCAGGTAGTAACTGTTAACTATAGGAGATTATATTTAAAAGGCTGAAAGCTTATTCAAAGCAGGTCTGTTTCATAATGTAGAGAGGCATCAGACATTGCCATATTAATGAAATTAATGACTTCTTTTGTACATTCAACATTATGAGAGCCAAACCTATGATATACCATTTACTGATGCAAGATTCATTTTATAATCTAGGTGTAGGAAGCTAGAGAATAGCAGAGGGTATATGTCATCACCACCTCTGATCTCATGCACTCAACTCTGACCCCTGGAACCCAATGATAACTGTACATGCACCCATGCACCGCGCGATGCCACAATGACCATATATCTAGAGTCGTTTCTTTATGAGTTTTTCTAGTTTCTTGATGCGACTGGACTCCTGCTCGGGTGTAGCTGCCACGCTGGTTATGCTCATTGCACTGCTGACCTCGGCTGCCTGGTGCGGCTTTGGAAGCTGCGCTCGGAAAATGTCCAGCATCATGCTCTGTTCGCCTCTCTTCAAACCCTGCAACACAGTAGCGCCACCTATAGTTACATCATATAATTACTCACCACGATGTTGAATTAGAGGATATTTCGTCCCCCATAGTAGCAGCATCCAGCAACGACGGCAGTTTCGTGTCAGCGTGTCATATCACAGTGGTTCAATCGGTAACACATTAGTGCCTTTTAGCTGTGATATTTACTATTCTACTACTGGTATACCAATGGTATGCCTACTCTATACCAATGGTAATGGAAATACAAAACCCATGAGCTATGGAAACAGCAACAAAAACTGTTTTTTGTTGTCCTATGCATCGCCTCGGCAGAAAACGCAGAACAAATCAATTAACCGATACTACGATCCTGCCTTTGCCTTAATTTCCAAAATGCTTAATTACTAGCAAACAGTCACTAATCGTTTCTAATCTACCACTAATGGTTACTAATGGACTACTAACAGTTATTACTATACTGTCTTGCATACTTGCCTTCATCTCTAGGATACGTTGGAAGTCGGTCATGTCACTCTCCGGCAGCAGCTTGATGTAGTTATCAACGAAGCCCTGCGGCGGTTCGTGCGGCGACATCACAACCTTTAATATCATCTCAGCCTTCGTCATGCCCTTGACAACGATCTTTGTGTAGCTGTGTGCGAACAACATGTATGTGTGTGAACATAGTGGGATCTGCAGGAGGAGCACGATTCAGTCCACACACGATGACAACAGATGCAGTACAGCACACTACTTTGTTTCACGTAACGTTTAAATGTTCAAATTAATTGAATTACGTTAATTAGCAGAAATTTAAAAAAAACAAGCTAACTATAAGATTATTTTTTTTAAATTAAACTGAAATTAAAACAGAAAATCGTATGCGCTGGTAACTATCATGATTGTGGGGAATCACTACTCTGACTGCGTGGCGATGCACTTGTCGCACACCTGGCGGGAGCTTTGCGGGCGACCGACGAGCCAATAGAGGGCAGGTCGAGCAGCACAGTCTTCAGCGAGTGTGTGTCTAGTAGCAGCTGCTCGGCTCCCACTGTGCTCACCGGCTTACACTTGTGCAGCTGATTAATGAACTTCGGAATGAACGAACTACGTGAGAGAAACGAAATAGATAGACGTTAATGTTGAGCGATATTAACGATAAAATTTTAACGATCACGATTAATGGCCTTATGTCCCATCGGGGGACCAAGAGGATAAGTAATTAAGTAAGTAAGTAAGTAAGTAATTGTTGAGCGAAGCTACAAAGTGACTGTTCGCATGCGAAACAGGAGAGGGAGGAATATCAGCAACAAGAACAAGAGTGGTCAGAACATAGATTCAGTCAGTGACAGCACTAATATTCACAACGATGCTACGGATATGAAAAACAGCATTTGACAGTAGTAGGTCAAAGGGGTCGAAGATTTTTTGAGTAAAAGAAGTTTTTGGGAATAAATTTCTTTCTGATCACAATGTATGGAACTGTAATTTGCCGTGCAAATTTGCTATTATCTGTGGACAGTAGTGTCACCTTGCGGCACTGCTTGAAAACTGTAGAAACCTGTGTCATATATTGTGGTTTTTAAAATTTTATATTGGTTATATTTGTCTCACGACAAAGGGACATGAAGATGATTGAAAATAATTTGAAACGTTTAACTAGATGTGTCTATATCCAATTACATTCAAGCATACTCACTTTGCAAACTTAACACAGAACTGGGTAAAATATTTGCGAGACGAGGCCAGGTTGTCACGTATGAGAGGCAGGTTTTTGTTGATATGGGATGTAATCGCAGTCACGTAGCCACTCTGATCCCCCACAGTGTCAACATGGAGCCAGTTGATCTGAAACCAGCAAAAACGCAACAAACTGACTTGTACCAACGTGTACCCTGAACAAGTAACGTTCAACAGGTCAACGTATACCCTGAACAGACTGAAATAATGAATAATTATACAAGTATGAGACAGATTACTACCCTTACCTTGCTCATGGCAGTCAGAGCGGGATCACAGGCTCCTTCCAAATCCTGCACTAGCAGCTGTATGCAGTTTGATATCACACTACGGAAAAAGTAGTATACTGATGAAACATCGAGCATAGTAAACCTGCCTATGGTTCCTGAGTTATCGTTGACCGAAGCGAAATGTTGACAGACAGACGAACGGACGGACGACGGACGACGACCCATGGCAATAGCTCAGCTTGAAGATGTCAAGGTGAGCTAAAAAGCAGGCAGGTTTGATGGAGTTTATTAAACTGAACTACATCGAGTGGACTCTGTGAGCAGTTCAATCAACTTTATAACATTAATTTATTCTTAGTTTTGCTGCTACTTAAAACCAGATCATATTAATCCCCTAATTTACACTATAGGGTTCTGCTTAGCTCTAGAACTATAGCCCTTCGCTCCGCCACATGACGGGCTATAGTTCTAGAGCTAGGTTCTACTTAGTTAAGCCTTTAAAGTTTAACGCATGTCAGGTATAACAATTGACATGCAGACGGCTGTGATTACTTTTGACAATTGCAACACAGTCATGCTGTTTTCACAGCCTGATAGGCCTATATTGATATATCTGTCTAGTTGATCAATATTGTCTTTTTTTCCGTCCTATAGGTATACATATATAGTCCTTTGGACTTTGAAAACTAATATCTACAAGGTTACGAGGGAGGTTTCAGGGTATATACATGACACATTTAATTGATTCCAATTACTGAATTAGCAATCTGGAATGAACTGTCTTATGAAATTACTGGGAAGAACACTGCACACTAGTATGCACAACGATGAATAACCCAAATCTTAGGCAAAACGTAAATTTGAAAAGCACTAGCGCTATACTATACAGTAAAGTCAGTATACCGACTAGGCCCCTACTGTACATACAAATATTTGTCAGGTTAGGAGTATGCTGTAGTGTAGTGTATGGGCAGGGCATATAACCAAGCCGCAAGCGCAAACGAGGCAATATGCTATGTATAAAAATGGCGTCTATCGTATCTTTGATTAATTCTGAATTTATGAATGTCTCTGGTTTACACAGTGTGTGAGTTGTAACGTTAAATCGACAATACTTCATAAGAGTAGTTCAGACCACAGGCACTTGGAGCGTTTCAATAAAATATAATGCTAAATAAATACGAAATCTATTTACTACCAAATATTATTATTAATATTGCCGACAATTTCCTGTAAATGCCGTCCAAATGCTCATCTGCAACAAACGCTGGCTGCCGCTGCACACTGACACATAAATATATAGATGTGTTTATATATTTATGAATTATGTATCAGTGTGGCTCATAGGGTCTATGTCCCCCGGCAGTACCCTCTGGTAACTATTTGATATGGTTAGGGTTAGGGTTAGGGTTAGGGAGTAGGCGTAGGCGACTCCCTAGACTCGTTAGTGGAGTAGGCGAGGTATGGTCCAGCATATTAGATAGTACCAGACGTTCCGGCAGTACCCTGGCCCTGGGGGACATAGCCTAGACCCTCTCAGCGTCAGTGTGCAGCGGCAGCCAGCGTTTGTTGCAGCTGAGCATTTGGACGGCATTTGCAGGAAATTGTCGGCAATAATAGGTGAAAGAGAGTATAGAAACATTAAGACTTTGGTAGTAAATAGATTTCGTATTTATTTAAGCATGATATTTTATTGAAACGCTCCAAGTGCCTGTGCCTGTGGTTCAGATCTGAGACCAGTGCATTGCACTCAGCACTGTCTGTGGACAGTGGCCAGGCAAGTAATGTAAGAACTCGTAAACATTCGTTTAACTCGCAACATACATACCATTTTAACTGTATTTTAACTGCAGACGAAGTTAAATACAAGATTTTCTCTTTCTAATTCATGATCAACATAGGCCTACCAAACAAATTTATATCACAAAAACGATGTTATTTCTAACTTTGATGAGTTTGTAAAAGGAAGTGGCGGGTGTGTCATTGTCATTTTATCAGGATTTATGCCAGGTAAAAATGTACAGCCGGACCTTTTTCACCAGTGATCTGATAGTGGTCTGATAGCGATTTTTACCTGGAGCCAAATCCATATTGTTCGTATTTGCCACATTCGGTCCACAGAGCAACATTTATATCGCAAAAATCTATTTGAATTCTAATATATCAAATTCTATCATAACGTGTATAATAATAATGCCAGTGGCAGTGATTGAAAGCCTTCCTGAGATTACTGCATATGCACTGGCCCTTTGCCAATGTACCTTTCCCATTGCACACGCACGCACGTATATAATATATAGTAGATACTATGCTGCTCATGCCATGCCACAATGTGTGTGCATAATGCTATATATAGATCAGTGCATGCCCATGTATGATGTATATGACCTAGGGTCCCTATACAGAGGGGACCCTAATCCTCTATATATAGGGACTCTAATATGACCATGTCATATACCTGTCAGGGCCCATATCAGGTCCCTAATTAGTGCAAATTATGGGCCGAATCGTTACAGGAGTGATAAAATTCTCAAACTTGGCACAGTTGTAGCTTATGGCAGTACTATAATTATTAGAGGGGGTGCCCAATGCAGATATTCCTTAGAAGTGAATTACAGATGATTAAATGTTCGAACCACCCGACTCCGAACCTCCCTACCGCGCCCGCTTGTGTACATGCGATGTTTCATGTTTATAAACATTGACGTCATATGCGCACATGCGCAGTTTAACGGTTGGCAGCAAGCAGATGCGTGATATTGTTCGATACAAGCACACGCACGCACGCACGCACGCACGCAACGTGTACTGCACACGCACGCACAACATCATGCCGCACGTGTACGAGCACACGCACGCACGCACGCATGCACGCACGTGTACGTACACACGCACGCACGCACGTACGCACGTCTACATGCACATGCACGCACACACGCACGCACGCACGTGTACCTGCACACACACGCACGTACGCACGCACGCACACATGCACACACGTGTACCTGCACACGCACGCACGCACGTACGCACGTCTACGTGCACATGCACGCACGCACGCACGCACGCACGCACGTGTACCTGCACACACACGCACGTACGCACGCCACGCACACATGCACACAACGTGTACCTGTACACGCACACACGCACGCACACACGCACGAACGTGTACCTGCACACGCGCGCACACACGCAACGCACGCACGCACGCATGCACGTGTACGTGCACACACACGCCACGCACGCACGCATGCACGCACGTGTAAGTTCACACGCACGCACGCACGCACGTGTACGTACACACGCACGCACGCACGCACGCCGCACGCATACACGCACGTGTACGTGCACACGCACGCACACACTCATGCACGCACGTGTACGTGCACACGCACGCACGCACGCATGCACGCACGTGTACGTGCACACGCACGCACGCACGTCTATACGTGCACATGCACACGCGCGCACACACGCACGCACGCACGCACGTGTACGTGCACACCACGGACGCTCGGCACGACGGCACGCCACGTGTACGTGCACACGCCACGCACACACTCATGCAACCACGTGTACGTGCACACGCACGCACGCACGCATGCACGCACATGTACGTGCACACGCACGCACGCACGCACTTGTACGTGCACAGCACGCACGCACGCATGCACGCACGTGTACATGCACCACGCACGCATGCACGCACGTGTACGTGCACACGCACGCACTCACGCATGCACGCACGTGTACGTGCACACGGCACGCACTCACGCATGCACGCACGTGTACGTGCACACGCACGCACTCACGCATGCACGCACGTGTACGTGCACACGCACGCACACACGCATGCACGCACGTGTACTGCACACGCACGCACGCACTCACAGTGTACCTGCACACACACGCACGCACGCACGCACGTGTACGTGAACACGCACGCACTCACACACGCACGCAGGCACGCACGTGTACCTGCACACGCGCGCACACACGCACGCACGCACGCACGCACGCACGTGTACGTGCACACACACGAACGCACGCACGCACGCATGCACGCACGTGTAAGTTCACATGCACGCACGCACGCACGTGTACGTACACACGCACGCACGCACGCACGCACGTGTACGTCCACACGCACGCACGCACGCACTTGTACGTGCACATGTACGCACGCACGCATGCACGCACGTGTACATGCACACGCACGCACGCACGCACGTGTACGTGAACACGCACGCCACTCAACACGCCAGCAGGCACGCACGTGTACGTTTACACGCACGCACGCACGTGTACGTTTACACGCACGCACGCATGTACGCACGCACGCACGCACACACGCACGCACGCACACACGTATGCTGCACGCACGTTTACGTGCGCGACACGTGTACGTGCACACGCACGCACACACACGCACGCATGCACGCACGGTGTACGGCACAGGCACTTGTACGTGTCACGGCGCGCACGCACGGCACGTGTACGTGCACACGCACGCACGCCGCACGTGTACGTGCGCACGACGGCAAACACGCTCGCACACACGCACGCCACGCACAACAGTGTACGTGCACACGCATGCACGTGTACGTGCCCACGCACACATGCACGTGTACGTGCACACGCACACACGTATGCACGCACGCACGCACGCACGTGTAAGTTCACACGCACGCACGCACGCACACACGCACGCATGCACGCACGTGTGCGTGCACAGCGACGCACAGCACGCTTCGTTCTGCCAACCCACAACAGCAACACCTGACCTGATCTATGACGTCACATGAAACATCGCTATACATGTACACTGTAAAATGCGCCATAGAAATCGCAGCCCAATAACCTATTATTGGTTATTGGGCTGCGATTTCTATGAATGAGCCAGTACACACAGTACAGGCAGGCGCGGTAGGGGGGTTCGGAGTCGGGTTGGTTCGAACAATTTAAAGGGATGTAGACTCTAGGATTTTACTGCATATAACTGTACTTACTGTAGGCCCATAAACAAATCGTCTATATACCCACACGATATTTGTTACCAGATACCTAATTTAATTGTTATAATTAATTTCACATCAACGCTACGAAATATTGAACACGCCATGACACCCGCACCGTGCTGCCACCCCGCAAAAAGTTGCGTATTTGACAATTTATTTTGCACGTTACATACCGAAGAGCTAATCACAAAAGTGCAATTATATTTATACCTAAATGCTATTTAAACCAAACGATATTCATTTTAGGGCAAATTTATCCATATTATAACTGAAACTATATGTCGTTTATAAGATATTACAATCCTTTTGCTTTAAATTAATAAATAAGAAACACCCTTGGTCTGTAGCCCTTGGCTGAAGTGGTTTTGCGCAACTCATCAGATCGTGCGCTTTGAGTGACGCCACCGTCGTTTGTAATCAAACTGTCGTCTTAGTTTTAAAACATTTTTATAATATTTCTAATGGCGATTGAACCATGAAGCTTTTTATGTAGCGTAATCATATC